CCCCCCCCCTCCTCCCAACCCCAACAGCAAGCTCTATACCGTCAAGCTGCACTTTTTGGCCTAAGTCATTTTTCACACTTCAAAGATAATTGAGAAAAAAAAAACGGTTTCAGTAAGTGAAAAATGCACTTTGATAGCCCAAAATTTCCAATTTTAATTTACCTTCCCTCATTAGTACTAAGTGTCACTCTTGACCTAGGAGAAATGCATTTTTTTATTTTCTTTGAAATGGTTTGGAGTATAATTTTAATGTTAAGTCACTATATTGAGCAGATGTCAAGAGTCCAGTGGTTCAGCGTTGCATTTTGGCCAAATTAACTAGGCCAAAAAGGTAGCAGCTTGACGATACGCTTCACAAAGCTTTTACCCCAGCTTTCCAATAATGAATAGCAGCCGGAGGCCTATGAGAGGCAACAGACACTTACCTGTGTACAAAGCAGCAGGTTAATTTTGTACTTTTTTTTATCTCTAAAAAGAATAAAATAAGATATCAGATAAGATGACACTTTACTGTCCCAGAGGAAAATTTTCTATCTGGAAAAAAGTGATACTGGAGCAGCAAGTGACAATTTTAATAGCAAAAAGTCAATAAGACTGGGAGAAGTGCACTGAGGGCATGCAAAAACATGACGTCGGTGTCTGACACTAACCGTGTTTTCACCAAATTAGGTCAAGCACTCAGTGTTTGTCTGAAATTGTGTTGTTCCCAATTGTAATTACAATTGTTGAATTGGTAAAATGAACACTCAACCGTAATTTTGAAGCATTCTGAAACATAATGCATAATTTTTAATAAAATTAAAAATTTTCAAGCGTTGGACATAATTTGCTGGACACAAGATTAGTGTCAGACACAGAAGATATAAAACGTATAATACATAGAAAAAAAGATGACATACGTTGTTGTTGTCAAAGTTGAGGTACCACTATAACAAGTACGTTTGACCAGAAATACGTTAGGACAAAATTATCTCTGAAAAAAGTAGTACATATATATATATATAATACCATGAAAGACTGCAAGTAGGGATGCTTTCGTGGTCTAGAGTTACGGTGTTCACCTCTCATTCAATAGGTCCGGAAAAGACGACGGAAAATTTTCTTCTCTAAAATTTTTTCCTTTCACTTCCTTTCCTGTTCTCTCACTATGTTCTGTTATCCGTTTTTATCTCCACTTTCTGCCCCCCCGCCCTCCTCTGGGTTCCCGACTCTTTATGCAGCCTTCTTACTGCTACTCCGTGACTCCTTCTTATTGCTGTCTTTCAGCCACACCCCTGATCTTAGGTAGGTAAGATCTAACACCATGATCTTATGCAGTTTCGAGTGCTATAAAACACTTACTACAAAAAAAAAAAAAAAGACTGCAAGATAGATGTTTTCTAAACAGGTTAATAATAAAGAAACAGCAGGAAGCCTAATCTAAATATAAAATAACTATATTGAGATTCAAAGGTTGTCTTTGTCTTAACATGTGATAAATTTTGGAGAACAGAAAATAAAAAGTACTAGCTGGGCCCCCTTTCGATGAAAGGAATTATCAGTGTTTTAATATCAACTAAAAGTCATTGGCCTACTATATTTACACTCTACTAGAAGGGGGCAATAAAGATTGAGAGATGCAAAAATTTAGAAGGTCTAGATCAAAACTCTCAAAACAAAATGCGCCTCGCGAAATATCACTTCCAGATTTTCTAAAATTACAGAGACAGAAGCGATCAGCGAAATAAAGAAATTTATCTTTTTGCAGCAAAACTGTTGCAAAACTGAAAAAACCAAGGGCGCCATGCTCTGGAGAACATTTTAAAGAATCTTTTGGCGAAAACCGCAAATCGATTGATGCAGCCATTAAAAAGCCTTTTGAATAGCAAAATTCGGCCGCCACAAATAGTAAAAAGTAAGAGCTGATAAAAAATTGTTATTGTATAGCTGCGGTATATTTTTGGGCATGTACAGTTATTGGCATCATCTTAAAGCTTGTTCATTTGTCCTTATTTGGATGAAAAAAATATCCATTTACCTCAAATACAAGTCGAGATATTTGCGATAAAAGGAGGTGGTGGTCACCCGTTTTCAGAGGTAAAATTAGTGAGAAAATGGCCGCCAAAGATGAATTATTTCCTTAACTTAAGAGTCCGTGGTAATTGAAAATTTACATTCTTTGTGCGTTTAATCAACGTCTTTCTGAAAAATCCACACAGAAATTAGTTCCTTAATATGCATGAAAGGTGTTGAACAAAAAAAACAAAAATTTATTAAAATTTACAAACCTGCGGAAAAATGCAAGTTTCTTCATTTTGATTATTTCGACGAGAGCCTGATTCCACCACGCTGCCTCACATATATTATTTATATCTGAACTGTTTAGATATATATCTAGTGCAAGAATCCACAAATGCCATTTTGAAAAACACGCCTACATGTAGAGCATGATGAGGTATTTTTCTAAAAATTGAACAGCCTGAGAAAGACTCAGTCAAATGTTGAAAGACTAAAAATACTGAAACATGGAAACAGAACATAATTTTGCAATAGGCATAAACATAATGTTAGAGCTGCCATTAACTTTTCATAAGAACTGAGTCAAAAGTCTTAAAACTATCTGCAACTTACTGAGGTATCCCATTAGACGGATTATGAAATCTTGCATTGGTTGACTGAAATGGAAAAACATTGACATCTTACGAAAAAGACACATAATATAAGTAATTATACTAAAAAAACAAGTTAGCATACAGCTAAACTCTTCCAGATAAATTTCAAACATAAGACTCCTACTGCAAAAAGCCCCAGTCTATTAAACCCCCTCTGAAATCATATTACTGTAATGCAGTTTTTGAACCCTCCCTCTGCTCCGCAAGGACTTTACACATGTACAGTGATATCCAGCTCTAAAAAAAATTTTTTTTAAACTTAGTAGTTTTACATGTGATGCAAAGACAAAACACATTTACCAGTATTATGTCCTGACCTTCAGACTCTACATACACTATGACATGGTCAACGCAATAGAGGCCTGGACATAAGAATAGCAAAATCACTTTGGAAAGCAGACTTGCTGATAATGTGACGTACAGATATCAAACACGACAAGTCACCGTGAGATAACTCTTCTCTAACATATACCATTTTTTAAAATCAAGGTAACCATAGCTGGGGTTTTTGCACACTTATGGACCCTACAAGTTCATGGTTCATTTGAAAATCAAAGACATCACTGTGCAAATACCTTTCAAACAAAGGCATATATATGCCTGCCACCTGGACATAGTTGCCTAGCTAGAACTTTTTGGAGACTGGCAAGAGGTAATAAGTAATACTGACAATTCAAGATGAGAGAAACAAAAAGGATACAATATTTTACCATCAGATTTGGAGATGTCAAATTAACTGGTACTAGTATGTAACACGTCAAGCTAGAAATTGAGCTGAGGAATCACCTGGTCTATATATGATGAAAGAAAAAAACTAGACGATCTGAAACAAAGTACAAAGATGCGACTAAAATAATACACTCCTGCTTTCATCAGTCACCTGGCTTTATCCAGCTCTTGTAGTCTACTGTCCTGTTGCCCACACATCTGCCACAAAGTGTCACAGTAGAACATGATGGCGTTCTTGTACTCTGTAAACTCCTCATCCTCCTCCGCTCCCCCAGACGTTGAAGAAGTCGCACCTCCCTGATTAACGGAGTCTGCACTGGATTTTTTATTTTGTTCTGGCTTGGGATGATATGCCGGACCACCACACATGAACACAATTTGTTCTAACAGTGCATGAAATCTGAAGAAAAAAATGTAATTAGTTGTATGTTTTACCCCACCATCAACACAAGTCTGATTGTTTAGGAGGCAGGCTGCTTTGACTGCCTGTCAGGCCCAACCTCAGCTGAGAGGAATACACATTCAACATTCCCAGTGGGCACCTACAGGATAAAAACGCTCCCCACATGGGATTTGAACACAAAGTTTTCCGTGTGCGATGGCAAAATGCATAGCCAAGTACAGCCACATCGACCTATACGAAATCGGCATAGGTCAGATCGAATAGAGGATTTTTAAAAGCCAAGAAAGTCAACGAATCTGCCCATTGTAGGAGAGTTGCAACTAGTCTACTAGACATCATTTTAGTCCAATGAACAACCTGGTCTACAGACTATATATGTATGATAAATCTTAATTTCAAGTGTTTATCACAGCAACCAAGGCTCAGAAGTTTGGAAAGAATCTGTTGAAAGGTTGAAGTTAAAAAGTAGCTACAATTAATATTATTATAACGCATCTCACACTGTATGGCGACATGTAACAACACAAAATACACCTTTGAGTATTTTATTCTGACTTCATGAAAGGGATTTACACAGGATTAAGTCCACACTTCCAACAATATTTCAATGACTGGGCCCAGGAAAGACAAGGGCTGTAGTTTTAGTTTTAATGGTAGATGGGAAGCGTGGTGCAAAGAGTAAAAGTCAAATAACATTTTTAAAATATTTAGCATCTAATCAAGGGTTTTGAACATCTTGCTCTTATTGGAAAAATAGAAGGCAAATAAGCAGGGGAAAATCAGAGAAGCTTATTTGAAAAACCTGAACAGATGGGTGTTGGCAAAACATTAAGACAAAGGGGGATTTTCTAGAGCATCCCAGTAGAGAAATGAATAGAACCATGATTGCAGGTCTGTTTCAGAAAGGCACTTTTATGAATACAATTCCTCTCATGTCACAGACTCAATGCGAAAACAAGGAAAACTGGAATAAAAACGACAAAAGACGCACAATAAAAATTGATTTTTCATTATCAATTTTCCCTTTCAGGTATATTATAAGATTTATTATATATAAAATATATATACAGTCTAACCTGCCTTAACGGAAACCTGTGTTAAACGGAAACCTGTCTTAACGGAAACCTCTTAACGGAATCTCCCCGCTACCCCCTTGATATATTCCTCTTTAATTACCAGTATAAAACTGAGACCTGTCCAACACGGAGATGGCAAGAAAAATCCACTCCCTTCCGAGGGTTTCACCTGTCTAAGACGGAAAATGCTTTAGCCGCTCAGCCCTGATTTGAAACAAAACTCGCAAGTTTGGTTCCTCCGGCTTTAAACGAAACGTAACGCTATGGCCATGCCACTGGGCGAGGAAGGGAAGTACAGGGTTGGGTTGATTTAAATCAGTTGATTTTTAAAATTTATATCAACTTGATTTTTTAAATAAAAATCAGTGATTTAAATCATTTATACAAATTTATTTTTATTCAGTTTTTAAATATTTCAACATTTAGAATTCCTTTCCTAGGTTTCATAAAACAGATATAGGGTTTAGTACACTAATATAATCATGCTTAAAAGTCTGCTTCCCCCCCCCCCCTTTCACTGTAAAATAATACAGTATTCAATTTACTTTTTTTTCCCATAATTGAAATCAGAGCTTGGTTGATTTTTTTATTTTAATCAACTTGATTTTGTGATTTAAATCACTTTTTTTTAAATGTATTCTGTTTTTACATATTTAAACATTCAGAATTCATTTCCTTGGTTTTATTTAACAGATATAAGGCAAGGTTTAGTAGACTAATATAATCATGCTTAGTCTGCTTTCCCCCCCTGTCACTGTAAAATAATACAGTATTCATTTTTCTTTCTTTTCATAATTGAAAACCAGGGTTGGGTTGATTTAAATCAGGTCGATTTAAATCAGTTGATTTTTTTTATTTATATCAACTTGATTTTAAAAATAAAACTCAGTGATTTAAATCAATTTTTAAAAATGTATTGTTTTTACGTCTTTAAACATTCAGAATTCCTTTCCTTGGTTTTATAAAACAGATATAAGGTTTAGTAGACTAATATAATCATGCTTAAAAGTCTGCTTTCCCCCCTGTCACTGTAAGTAGTAAATTAATACAGTATTCAATTTACTTTTTTTTTCATAATTGAAATTAGCATTTTCTTTTTCTTTTTAGACAAACACAAGCGCGCGCGCACACACACGCACACTGTAATAAAATACATGTTTATCTATGCATAATTACCCCCTCCCCCCCTTTCCTTTTAGACTGACATTTTCTTCATTTTTTGTCTGTAGCCATAATTCACTGGTAATAGCAGATTAAGGCTTTCTTTCGCAGTTGCTAAAATTAATCATTAGTTAAAACAAAGACAATGCATTCTGCACTAAAAGAACATACTTTTAGCCACCAAAAATCCCAAACTGTGTCGACATTTTTTTTAAAATAAAAAAAATCCGATTTAAATTTTAAAAATCGATTTTTAAAATTTTTATTTAAAAAATCAAAAAAATCACCAACCCTGGGGAAGTAGGGGTGCAATTTGGGGGTAGATGTTACCCCATCATGTGACCCCTGAGCGATGCAGATGGTCAGTATAGTGTGGGTGTGAAATCTCACGACTGCCCGTGAGAGTGCTGGAGTAGCAAACCACTACGGAAACTTTCCTGGTTAGCCAGAAGCCAGAGGTGTGAAATTAGATTGACCAATGCCTGCCGTCCTGATTGTACGGCCAGCCGAGAAAAGAGTTCCTTGAATCATTGTTACAATGATGGCAGTGAGGGGTGGCATTGGTGGGTGGGACTAAGGGTGGAAGCAAAGGAGATGTTCAAACGTTTCTGTTTTTAATAGGCCAAACAGAGGTCCTATGAGAGGCAAGCACTGGTGGTAATTGGATACGCAAGACTGACGCATGATGTCATTATACAGACAGGATAGCAGCTGAGAGGTGTGAAGTTTTGACCACTGCTTGCCGATCGGACAAGCGATCCTTGATCCCACCGGTTGGGCCTTTGAACCCCCCCCCCCCCCCCAAACCTCCCCCCTAAATTTCACTGTCTAAGATGGAAAATGTCTAAGACCGAATTTTTTCCCCGCTCCCTTGCGATTCCGTCTTACACAGGTTCGACTGTGTATAAATAGACCTAATAGCATTTACAGTGCTTCTTAACTTTTCAACCCCATCGGATGCTGGGAGCGTCCAGCGGTAATATAACCTTGTTCCCCATCGGATGCTGGGAGCGTCCGATACTAGAGACAAGTTTTGCTTTATTTAGTGCTAGATTGCTTGTTTTTTGGAACTATTCATTAACCAAGTTTTTAAGTAATGACTAAGCCTTTGCATCCCCTATTTAGAAGTTAGAGGCAAGCTTTTGGAATTTTAGGTGACTGTAGAAAAAAATAATCAGGGAAACGGTGGAAAACACTCAGGGCTTAAAGAGTTAATCTTATCACCCAGAGATAGCACAGTTCTCCCCTAAAAAATTGGTAAATCTAATCTAAAATTACAAAAACGCTACCTTTGTCTTTTAAAAATCTAGACTAGATTCTAGATCTAGATCAGGCTAGGTCTACTAAAAAGACAATAAATAGGCCTAATGTATAAGAATATTTGGCCTAGATCTATATTTCTACACGATAGCCTGGACACGTAGTCTCAGTATCTACGTACATGGTAACCAGGTACTTAGTTTCGAGGGCCCCTGAGCTAGATGCACGGTATAACTGCTTCGCCCCTCCCCCCCTCCCCTCACTCATGACTGGAATGGCCAATCACAACACCGCACCGCTGACTGCCTGTTCGGAGCCCACCTACAGCCACCCCATCACCCAACCCCCTTCCCCCAGATACAGCTCGCTCGATCTCTCCTGTTGTACCCAAGTTCGGGACTTTCCTTGCCCTGCCGATCCCAAGCATAAGTAATTAGCCTAAGTTTAAATAGAGAAAAAAAAGGGGATTCTGGTAAAGTCCCGCTGTAGGGGTCAAATGGAGTAGTTGTGCATCTGATCTACACAAGGTTGTCCATGACTATGAACTTGGGTAGAGAAAAAAAAGGGCAGATAAATCGCCTTTGTCACATGACACAATGCACACACATAGGAGAATGTCGGAGTTTGCACAATACACCCACAACACGGCGAGTCGCACAACACCATACTTAAGTGAAGAACGAGGGTGGACCTTCCGGTTACCGTGTACGTAGGCTCTGAGATTACATGCCCGGTTACCATGTACGTAGACACTCTGTTCAACTAGATTCTAGATTTACAGTCACAGAATGGGTCTCCTGGGCGATGGAATCAAGTCATTCTGATTGAAACACCTCTTTCATCTTTTTTAAAATAGAAATTCTAAGATGAACAATCAGCGGGCAGCAATGTCAGGATTCGTTAGACATAGAATCTAGCCTCCAAGAGAAAAACAGGCTTAGAAGGCTTATATAAATAAATGATAATCTATAGCCGAAACAACATGGACGGGTTACAATTCTAATTCTTGCACACGTGTAGATTTTACACATTATAATGGCACACTGTTAAGTTATTGAATGTTGGACAAGGTAATAAGATTGTACGCCCTCAGTCTCCATCTCATATTATATCAAACAGCTAGGCTAGATTCCATGACCAAGCCAAGGATTCGAGTCCCCTCAACTGACGTGCATTGAGGGAGAACAGAACAGTTCATCGTGTGGCAATTGCGAAACAGAGCCTAATAACCGAAATAATATTTTGCTCAATGCATTCTTACCCGTCTAGCAGCAACCCCGCAATATGCTCATTGGTTTCGAAACCAACGGCATTCCTGACTGCCCACCATCTGTGGTATTCAGCCCCGATCTCGGTTGAATGTCTTTGCTGTCTGCGACCAGGAAGAATTTTCTTCTCCTTCGAAGATGAATCTGGCACAGCGTCTTTCGACACAGACCTAGATTGAACGCCTTTTGTAGAGTTTCTCGCTCCAGTGCAAGATACCGTATCCATTTCTGTCCTGAAAACGCTGCCTGCTCTCAAACAAGAGACGCCTAGGCCTAGCTTCCACTGATTTCCCGTTGTCCGTTGTCCTCCTCACTTTCCCCCTGACGACCAGACACTTTTTTCAGTGACGTAAAACAACATTTTGTTTTCCTTTTTTTTCGGTTTATGACGTCAGCCTCAGGGGAATAACTGATTGGCTGGCTTTGGTCTGGGAGGAAGTGCATTTTACTATTTTGACTAGCCTAGCCTAGGCTAGGCCTATTTTAATTTCTTTTGGGTATGACATCACCAGAATTTGGGTAGCCTAGACCTTGTTCAAATGTTAGATTCTAGGCTAGCCTAGATCTACCTGCAACTTCTTTGACTTTGACTTCGACCCAGGTTTATAATCTAGCCTAGGCATGAGCTTTTTAAGGGTGGGGGGGGGGGGGCAATTCTTTGTAGGCCTACATGTACAAAGAACACATTGACGTGGCCTAGGCTAGTGGTAAACCCTTCTGTGTAATATTGGCTCTTAATTAAAAGTGAATGATAGGCTTAAACATTACACAGGGTTTAGGTAAGTAAACATGCACCGTTAACTTAATTTGGTCTCTGTTTTCAATTTTCAAATTTTGCTTTGCTTCATGTTGACTTTCCGGCTGAATAGATTTTGACAAGTCTTTCAGAAAGCAACAACAATTTAAAGTAGATCTAACGTATCATTGGCAAATACAAGCGGGAAAAAAGATGGAACAGGAAGAAGGCATGCTTCCGCTCTCTCTCTCTCTCTCTCTCTCTCTCTCTCTCTCTCTCTCTCTCTCTCTCTCTCTCTCTCTCTCTCTCTCTCTCTCTCTCTCTCTCTCT